ATAACATCACATAACATACCATGCCATAACATAAAACGACACACCACACCAACACAAACAACTAATCGAACACAACGGAACACACCTTGACATACCACATCATATCATGACACATCATCACAGAGCACATCATAACACGACAGGAGAGCATAACGACACATACTAGCAAAACAACTTATCATTTACTTTACAGAGCCGAGTCGTCAACACAGAGAACATCACAGAACACACCAGGGCAGAACATGACATAACACAAGACGACGGAACACAACATAACATAACACAGCCGAGCATACCATACCACACCTTGACATAACATAATTATCATGACGCAGCATCACAGAAAAGACCATACCACGACAGCAGAGCATTGAAACGTCGAACACGACAGAACACAACATGACAGAAATGAGCATGACAGAAGAGATCACGAGCATGACAGAACATGCCATAACACATCATAGTAATGTCATGACACAGCAGGGCACAACATACCATCACATAACATACCATAGCAGACCATGCCATAACAGACGACGGCATACGACACCATAACAGGTCGTAGCCGAACATAACATGACACAACTTGACATACCATATAATACCATGACGCATGAATCACAGACCATGTCCTAACACGACAGCAGAGCATAACGACACGTACTAGCAGAACATACTATAATCTACTGTACAGAGCCGAGCCGTCAACAAAGTTAACATCGCCGAACATACCAGAGCAGACCATGAACGACGAGGAGACGACATACCACACCATAACATACCATAACCGAGCATAGCCTAACACACCATGCCATAACACATCATATCATACCATGACAGCGTCACATAACATATCATAGCACGGCAGCAAAGCACAGCGACACACACTAGCAGAGCATATCATACTATACCACACTGGGCCGAACTTTCCACAGCATCACGGAACAACACATACTATAACACAGCCTGGCATACCATGTCGTGTCCCAAGATTGTGCCGCAGAACATGTCATACCATGACCTCTCAAAGTATATGGTGACAGAGATGAGCACAACACAAGCTGCTCAATCAGACGAGAACTCTAAGTGAATGTGAACCTCGTAACATACGATGCACCTGACGCCACACATTCGTCACGACGTCACGCCTGCCCATCGAGACCACAACAAGACATGCAGAACACAACATGAAAGAACGCAACTACCGCAGGTTTGCGTCGTGTCGACCCAAGCGATGGTTTTTGACACCGCGGGAATCGTTCAACCTTGAACGATCGGCCGTTTCCGAAACGCCACATCGTTGAACATCGATCGATTCTGAGTCGCCGGCGGCGTTCAACGTTGAACGCCCGCGCTGGGGTCGCCGCTGGTCGACACGACGCAAACCTACCGTACATGGACCACGGTTGCATCGTTTCGTCTGAATTTAGAAGCCGCAGCTGTCGACCAATTAGGCGACCGCACGCCGTCGGGGACAAACGCTGAAGGTTTCTGTGGGGATCGCTCGAAACAACATATTTCATTTATGTGTATACATGTATGTATATATACATACATTTATATACATTTTTGAAAAGAGGGAGGCAGAGGCGAAAGCGAGACATTGCACACGCCTGAACATTGTCCAACTCGTGCCAAGGAGTCGGCAAGCAACCCTGCCGCAGGATCGCCATCGCCCTTTCCTCCCGAGCGAGACCTGCAGGAAACCATATTGCGACTGATACGAATTGCCCACAGAACGAATCGGGCCGCAGTTGCATACATTGTGTCATACCCTCTATCGCCTGGCCCAAACAGCCACTGCAGTAAATGCAACACAATACTCTGGGATAGTGGAGGGGAGGAGGAGGAGGAGGAGGAGGAGGAGGAGGAGGCGGCGGGAGAAGAGGAGGGGGGGCAAGAATACTGGCTGAAGCGGTGCGCACCAGAGATTGTGTGAGACAGTGGGGGGAGCAGGACCAGAGATACGAGCAATCAAAACAAAGAGACTGGAAGGCTCACGCCCTGAGAGACCCGTGCACTTCCTGCTGGCACGGCTCACGCCCTGAGGGAGCGGGGAAGGGCCTGACATTGAGGAAGGGCTGGCGCACCCAGACGTGATTCGCTGCCGGATGCGGGCGCCCGCTGGGGAAGACAAATCCTGCCCCCCTGCGGAATTCAACGGCACAACGGAAGGCGACTGCTGTTTTACGTATCTGTATGTAGCTATGTCTGTGCATACAAATGGGTGTGCACGTGCACATGGGGCCCCACGGGACGCACCGCCCGTGAAACCCGGTACGACACCACCCCAAAGATGCCCTGGGGTGGTGCGGGCACTGGCTGCCGGCACAGCTCGGGGCGGGCGAAAGGGGGGGATAGCAAAGGGGGGGTTTGAGAATCAGCTCACGTAGCTGATTTTCCCGGCGCCTCCCGGCGCCGGATACGGCTATGTATCGAGGAATGGGCCCCTCGGTGAGGCCGAAACCAGCTGCATGCAGCAAATTTCGTAACCCCCCCTTTCCCAATCCCCTCCTTTCGCCCGGCCCGAACAGCGTGGGTCGTTCAACCTTGATCAGTAGATCCCTCTCGGAAACCCACGGAGGCTGGTCAACGTGCCAGCGAGGACCGGGAGGGGGGTCGAGATACGCGTGGGCTTCTTTGAGACATTCCGTGGCCTTGTTGGGACTCCTGGGGCGTACTCGTCGCCGCAGCTGGATCCGCTAGGTGCAATAAGCCGCGCGTCCAGTTGCATGCTGGCAGGGTCATCGGCGCACTCTTCCCTGATCGGGGGTCGAACTCCCACAGCCTGAAAGTGTGGACACGAAAACAGATACAAAAACGTTCCCCCAACCTGCACCCCACCCCAACCCGCCGCCGACACTCCATTGATTCAATCCTCCCACTTCCACAGAATCACACCCGACTCCCGCAACAGCTCCACACCCCATTGTTACAGGGGGGGAATCCGCCAGTGCGCTCGGCATGATCCCACCCATGTGGGGGGGAACATGAAACGGGTTTCGGGTCGTCTGCGGCACCCGATGCGCCCGGCACGAACCACCCCGAAAGCACCAGGAAATGGGGGGGTTGTGCCACACCGCCCGCGTATATTTTCCGATGTGCGCAAAATGTATACCAAGACGGATACCAATGTATGTATATAGATGTATATAGATGTATATATATGTATGCGTGTGTCTACTCAATTATTTATATATATATTTCCATCGACCTACTTATTTGTATCCACCACCGTGCCCTCAGGCACGCCCCTTCGAAAGACTTACCTTGGTAGCGCGGGGCCAGCCTATTCAGCAGGCGGGGATACAGTCTGCACATGTCCAAAATTGCGTGTGTCAATCGCATGAGCCTCTCTGCCAAAGACCCCCTGGAGATACCACAGCGCAGACCACTCACTCCAAGGTGAAGAGCCCCAAACACCTAGAACATAAAGATACCTCTCAAAAGTAGGATTGCCTCGCCATCGCTCGGACGGCCATCCCCGTCCATTTTTCGGTTTCGTGCGTGTATTTTCAGCAATGACCCAAAAGGCTCGTCCATGGTCCTCGTCGAGAAAAGTACATACGTCCAAGCAATGCCAAATTGTCCTCAACCCTCGTGCCAGCCGTATTCTGAGAAGCCCTCCCACTGCAGGGCCTCCTCAGAAACTCACCGCCGCGTCGACACGACATGAACCAAAATTCGGACGCCCGAAATGGGTACGGAAAACATGGGTGCAATGCACAATAACATATGTTGTCCAGAACCGGCAGCGGCCGCTGTTGGGCAGGCGGCCGCCTGTCTCAGATGGACAGCATCCGCGCGGGCACCGACAACGAGTCCTATTCGAAATGAGCATCGGCCTGCGAGCGAGGGGGGGCACCGATAAGGAGAAGGCCTCTCGGCGGTGGACAAACCTCTCTTTAGTTAACCTCCCCTTAAGGAAAACGGCCTGGGACCGAAACCGACGGACCTGGACCCTTAAAAATGACGGCCGCGACGCCTTCTCGCGAACCGACAACGGCCAATTTCTTAATCGACGTGTCAGGGTAGGAGGTCTATCCACCTCCGAGCCTCCTCAGAAGGCGGCGGGGCTGCTCACAAGCCTCCGGCCTTATTCTGCGAGGTGTTCCGTGTCTTCGGGGACGGCATGGGAAACTCCTCAGAAGGCCGGGGGACTTCGGAGCCTTCCTTCTGAGAGGGCCCGCTCCTTCTCGCTTCCCCCCCGGGCGCGCCGCCGAGAGCAGGAATTGTTGTCGGCCTTCGTGCCCATTCTGACGAAGGATTCATCTATGCCTATACCCGTCTCGCCTTGGCAGAAGCTTGCAAGAAATCGACTGAGCGCTCCGCAGAAGCCTCCAGCCGCGGAAATGCAATGCCGTCACCGACCGCGCCCATCATCACCCCGCTACTGCGGGCTGCAGTGGCGCCCCCAGGAAGCCACGGATGTGAGCGATGTCGGAAACTTGCCAAGAGAAATCAGGTACGGGCAATGTTGGGTATAGAAGTTTGCGAAGCATGCACACAAACATCTATAACAAAACCTGTTTTCTCTTGGTTTCCACGACAGGGTGAGACATCTGCTGCGACCACCTACGTCCAATAGAGGAGAAAGACAATCCACACTCAAAAGGCCTGCGATGCGCACTCTTTCACAGCGCCGTCGCCCACGCGATGCGCGGCTCCCTCTGACGCAGATTCACGAGACAACGGGTACAGATATATATATATATATATATAGATATGTAATTAACGGGCGAAGAACGGTGTAGAATAACCTTGTTCGCTGTCGGGGGCGCCTGTCCCTGGGCGGCTGGAAAGTTTATACCCTTGCGGTGGCACCGTAGGGATATAAACTTTCCAGCCGCCCAGGGGCAGGTGTCCCCGACGGCGAAAAAGTTTATTTTATACCGTTCTTCGCTCGCTGATGTAAGGCTCGCGAATCCCTACCGACCCGTCTCGATCGTACCGACTGAAGCCGCAACTCCCGCAGGCTGGCCGGAGGAGCCCAGCCGGGCCTGACCGAGGCGCCGAGGACGCTCGGCGGGCGCCTGGCGTCTCCGCCGCGAACGGGCCGCGCGCGCTCGGGGGGCGCCACGGCGACGGCGACGAGGACAACGAAGACGACGAAGACCTCGGCGGCGACGACGACGACGAGAACGTCGTCGTCGCGCACGTCGTCATCGTTGTCGTCGCGCACGTCGTCATCGTCGTCGTCGCTGTGGTCGTCGTCGTCGTCGTCGTCGTCTCGGAAGTTGTCGGGGCGTTTCTGGAATTCCCGTCGCCGCACAAGCTGGACACGGCTCGAGAAAAGACGAGCTGACCCAGGTGGGTCGGCAGCGGCGACGGCGATAACAAAAAGGCGACGGTCTCGACGAGCCTGCTGGTCGCCAGCAGCAGATAGCGGGGAACCAGGGGGGGAGCGCGTCAGCTGGGAACACGAACAAATGTGCTTGACGACCCACCCCCTCGGTGGAACCTGAAGGAGCTCGCAAGCCTGTACGATCATCCGCAAGCGGGACGCGTATGACCGCTATCTGCTTCCTTGTGGAGAGGGAGGGGGGGGGGGGCTGACCTAAACATGGCGACGAGCAGGAGGCCCGTTGATTCAGGCGCATGCGGAGAGGAGAGCGAGGGGTCCAACATCGCTTCACACTCGGGAATCCGAGTTTTGGAAGCTCTGGGAGCCCTCCATGAGACTGGAGACCCTCCCCTGCGGGTCCCCACACCTCCGTTTGCGATCCAGGTCCAGGAGCCCCCTTGACCATCGTGGGGCGGGTTCATCATGGAGCATCTTGCGGCCACCGGGGTCCACCATGAGAGCACCTTGGGCCCTCTTGGGATCTCCTGGATTCTGAGTTGGCTGTCTTCGAGCCCTCTGAGGACATCTCGCGGCGCTCTTGGGCTGTCTTGTTGCAGTGTTGCGGCCCTGTTGGGCCGCCGTGGTCTCCTCTGCAGGTTCCCTTCGACTGCTCTGTGGCGAGTCCTGGGCTATATGGGGGCTCCTCGTGGGGCTCTGTTGGGCCCTCCTTGGATCCTCGAGGCTCCAGGAGCCCCAACCGGAAAGTGGGGAACCCACCACGCAGCCTGCTGTCGGGCGGAGGCTCTGGGGGCTCCTTCAGGGGGTCCTCTCGGAGTGCCTGGGGCCCTCTTGAGCTTCCTCGGGGTCGCCTGGGAACCCTCCTTGGACGTCCTGGGGCGCCGAGCCGTCTTGGGCGCCCCGGCGCACCGCCGTTCGCGCGCCAGCAGGCGGCCCCCGAGAGGCCGCCAGCCCAAACCGTCAGCTCGCCATCGCTCGGACGTCCATTCCCTGTGTTTTTTCCGGCTTCGTGCGTGTTTTCTTCGCCAAATGGTCAAGGATGCTCCTCGATGGTCCTCGCCGAAGGAAAAATGCACACGTCCGAGCGATGCCAAGTCAATCTGACGACACGGCGGGGACCTCTCGGGCCCGGCCTTCCCGCATTCGGTTGAAGCGCCTACGCCCCCGGCGACCACGCATCGACGTGAGCACTGTTGCCGTGGGCAGCCTCCGAATGTGCCGACGCTCGCCGCCCTCACGCACATACGCTCCGTGCCGGCGCGCGTCGGCACGCGGATCCTCGGCGTGCCGACGGGCGTCGGCACTCAGGGCGAGCTGCCTCGCTGCGAGTCCACATCGTTGTCGCTGAATCACTGCGAGTCCACATCATTGTCGCTGAATCCAATCGCATTCGCCGATGGCACACCATCTTCACCTCGCCGTTCCCAACGACCGCGGGATTGTCCGCTGGGGAAGAGAGCTGATGCGGACAGTCATATCCTCTCCCATCACCGCTCAATGCACATGAGCTCGTTCCGACGCGTGGGGATCAGGGCTCACGTTGGAGCCCCTCGGGGCACTCCCAGGGCACTCTTGGGGCGCCTCCGGGACTTCTCGGGGCGACTGGATTGGACCGTTTTGGGTACCTTTGGAAGCTCTCTCTCTCTCTCTCTCTGGCAGCCCTTTTGGGAGTCTCGCGGGGGCACGGAGCCCATTACCCTCTCTTTGCGGGAAAACGCATGCAGACACGTAAACATACACGCACGCGCGCACCCGACTCGGGTCTGACACTGCACACGCCCACAGCCTGCCCGCCCCGACCCGCTTATCGCCGCCCGCAGCCCGCCTGTTTCTGCCGTCGGGACAACACGCGCACCTGACGCGGGCGGCGGGTCGGCGGCGGCCACGTCGCAAGGGCGCAAAGGGTCCCCCGCTTCGACCAGAAATGCGAAGCAGAGAAGCCATCGCTGCCCCTTGTCGCCGTCCCCCTCCGGCCTCTTGCGCCCAAGCTGTTCGCTCCTCCAGGGCGGCGGAACCAGCCTTTGCAGCATCGGAATGCCTGACACTGAGATTCTGGACGGAAAAAAATGCCATACCTCTCATCGTGCGCTTGCCGGCCAAACATTTCATTCAAAGCAAATCCGGACGTAACGACGAAGCCCCGCCTGCAAGCGGCCGAACAAAATCCCCAAACGCAGAAATCCCACCAACATCTGAGCGTAGGTGCTCTAGGGGAGCGGCTCTTCGAACCCCTATGCAACCCCCTTGTGGAGGGGCTCACCCCTCCCTCTCTCCCACGCTGGAGGGGCCTCTCGGGAGCTTCCCGGCAGCATCACGGGGTCCTGCCTGGGCGTGTCTGGGCCCTTTCGGGACCCCCTTGGAGCTTCCCTGGGGACTTTTGGGGCCTTCCTGGGACCGACTTGGGGCTGGCGTCGTGCCAAGTACGGATGGTGTTTGTGGCCTTTCGCGAATTAGAAACCCTTTGGGCCCCTCCCGGGCCTCTCTTGGGATCCTCTTGTGGCCGCCTGGGCCGTCTCGGAACCCTCTGGCGTTAGGTCGAGCCTGTCCCCCTACAGGGGGATTTTTGATGACACATCAAACATACAAAACAAATACGCCGAAATGGTCAGCCAATACTCAAACATCGTCCCCAGGCTATTGTTTCACTACTTTTGAGTATTCCTCTTGGGCCCCTCTTGGGCCTCTCTTGGGATCCCCTTGTGGCCCCCTGGGCCGTCTCGGAACCCTCTGGCGCCGTCTTACGGGTTTCTTTTAGGTCGGGCCTGTCCCCCCTACAGGGGGATTTTTGACAAACACTGAAAAATAGTCAAACAATACTCCAATAGCAACCAAACATAATAGGAACATCGTCCCAAGACTTTTTGTTCGACTATTTTTGAAAATTCCCCCTGTAGAGGGACAGGTCCGACTTATAATTCTGGCGCCGCCTCACGGGTCTCTTGCGCCGTCCTGGTGCGGCTTTGGGGGGCCTCGCCTCTGGGGGCGTCTCTTGCACGGCCTGCAGACCGAGAAAAAGCGAGCATTTGACATTCTCGCGAAGGCAGTCGGCGGCGACGATAGGGGCAAATAGCCCAGGGGCGGGCATTACACGTATTCGCCCGGGAGCCTTACTCGAAGACATCGATCATCGGCGCACCTGAATACACGAATTGCTCCCCCCTGGGTTATCTGCCGACCCCTTGTGGGTCTCTGGGCGTGCGAGATCCCCTCTTAATCCCCGCCCAGAAACCCCAAATCGGAGATTTGACCCCCCCCCAGCTTCGTCCGACCCCCAGCCGAACTCACCAGAGGGGGTTTCCCGCACTCCCCAGGGGGTGTCTGGCTTTTTCTGGGCTTCTCCGGCTGCCTTCAGAGGCTCCAAACAAGGTCCAACTTGTCTCCCAGACTTCCGAGACTGTCTAGGAAGTCTCGAAGACGCTCTCGAAGGCATCCGCGAGCACTCTCAAGAAAGCTCCAGAAGACAAAAATCATACATTTTCCCCTGGTGCTTGAAGGATGTTGGTGTTCGCGCCTCCTCGGCCTCCCGGCGCTCCCAGACAGGCCCAGAGGCTGCCAATGTTGCTCCCAGACGGGATAAGACGCCTACGTACCAGAGGGCCCCCAAGTCCCCAAACGGCCTTATAACGCTCCAAGGTGGCCTACGGCGCCTCCAAGACGGCCCCGGAGGCCCCCCAAACGTCTCCAACAGGGGGCCCCTACGTGGAACCCCAGCGGACATTTCGACCCCTCGACCCCAATACGCCCCAGGAGGCTCTAAGGGGCCCAGAAAGGCCCCCAAGAGGCATCGAAAAGGCACCCAAAAGGCTCCAATGAAGCTCCAAAAAGCTGCCAAAAGGCTCCGCAAACTGTTCTAAAACACACTCAAGAGTGCCCCAGGAAGCATGATCCATTGATGTACCAAAGGTTTCTGAAGGAATTCGGCGCCTTCGCCTTCTCAGCTTCCCTACGCTCAAACACGGCCCTTGAGGCCCCCAAGAACTTGCCCAGCACAGCCTCAACGGTTTCGAACAAGGCCCCTCTGAGGCTCCAGGACGGCCCCCACACAACCCCAAAAGGCTCCAAGACGTCCCAACCGAGGTCCGATACCACCCACCAGCCCGCCCGAGCGCAGCGTCACCAGTGTGAGCCAATGTGGGCGAGTCATGTGTTTTCGCTATTCCATCTCCCCCTCCTCCTCCTCCGCCTCCTCCTTTTCCGCCTTTGTTCTTCCTCATTATGTTCCTCCTCCTGGTCCTGGTCCTGGTTCTGCTCCTCCTGCTCATTTTGCTCTTCCTCTTCCTCCTCCTCCTCCTCCTCCTGATATTCCTTTTCCTCGTCCTCCTCTTCCTGTTCCTTCCCATCCTCCTCCTCCACCACCTCCTCATCATCCTCCACCTCCACCGCCACCTCCTATTCCTCCTTCTTCTCCTCCTCCTCATCCTCGTCATCCTCGTCATCCTCGTCGTCGTCGTCATCATCATCATCATCATCATCAGCATCATCATCATCATCATTGTTATCACCATCATCGTCATCATCATCACCATCATCATCATCAACCTCCTCTCCCTCCCCCGACAGAAGCGAATATTCGAGCCAACCTTCCGGGAATGAGGCCGTGTGGCGGGAGCTACCTGTCCCCACCCCCGCGCACCCCCACGATTCATACTCCAAGGTGCACTTCCGCATCCGACTGCCGCAGCAATTCCTCTCGTCTTCCTTCTCCGTTTCGAATTGTCGCCATCAGCGCTCGCATTCGGAGCTCTTCCCAACGGACGCTTCAACGACCCTGCACGCACGATGTGCACTTCAGCGCGCCCTTCGCGCGGGCACTCGAGCAATGCGCCCCGCCCCCCCGTCCCCCCCCCCACGAGCTCGGACGTCGGGAGGTTCCCCCTGCACAGGCCCGAATAGTCATACGCTTACCAATTGCGCGAAATAAAACCTGCGCTCGCGCAGAACACTTTCCTCTCCTTCGTGAAGCGTTCCCGTTCCTGCGGGCCAGTTATGCGGCCCTGCCGAGGGAATCTTTTTGTTGCAGGCTGCGCGCGTCAACTCTCGCTCAGGCCGCTTTGCAGCCTCGGCCACGCTGTTCGTGGTGACCCGCATGTGCCGCATTCGCCGACAAACCATGGCCCACCTGGCTCCGCTTCAAGTGACCCGTGTCCCGAAAAATCTTCCTGCAACCTGGCAAATAACACGTCGGCGGCGCTGTTTCTGCCATTGCCCTCCGCCTGCGGTTGTATGCCTCTCGCGTCGACATTTCCGACGCGGCCTCCCCCGTGCTGCGCTGTGCTTCTTCTAAACTTGGGACATACTCGCCTTTTCTTTGAAAAGGCGACAAGTCCTTGTCGCTCGAACGTCGCACTGTGCCGACGCTCTCGTTCACTTCGCTTTGCCACGGCGCGCCTTACGTTGCGTTTTGCCATGGCGATTCTTTGTGTTCGCGCGACACATGCTTCGTATCGCGACACATGGATCGCATCGTTTTCGGGTCGTTTTCGTCGCCCCTTCCCTCGCCGGCCCGATCAGCGCCGCGTCCTTCCCTCAACCTTCGTCGCCCACCATTCGCACGTCTTGCGCCACTTCTCACCGGCGATTCCCATATCCGCACCGAATTATTGACAGACCGCTGGCTTTTCTTTCCTCTGGAACTCATACTTCGCGAACGCCTCTATCAGCAGCCTTCGCCAGCACGGCTCTCAATCGTCTCGCAACATCACCTGCGCCTCCCATCCTACTTGTCCACGTCCTCTCCTCGGAACACCTGCGACAGCTTTTCCGCGCCAGCCATTCCACCGTCGTTGAAGACCTTCCTGTCGAAAGGCCAAAAGATCAATCGGCCCCCTCGCCGTCGCACCCGCGAGATGGCCACGCAACCTGACATCCAACTTACGCCGCGCCCTATTGCAAGGTGCGCTGTGACTGCGCCCATTGTTAGTCTTTGCGCGGCGAGCGCCGTGACTGCCAGCGACGGCTGATCATGAACTGCGTGCGCTTCACACTTGGCACAGGATGCTTCCGATACCCATCCAAAAACAATTTCCGCCGCTCGGTGGGAAGATTGGATACAGCCCCGGCCCCCGCCCTGACAGGTGCCGTTCCTTCGTGTGAAGCCTTGGCAGAAACGTTGGGGCCACGACGGCTCCAAGACGACCAATGAAGCCATCAGGGGCCCCAACCAAGATCCAAGTCGCTTCCGAAACGGTGCAAAGTGCATGTCGTATTGGTTTTTGGCAAGGCTGGTGGGCCTGCGCGCAGCAGGCGATCTGCCGCCCCCCCGCCCCCGCCCCTTCGGTCCCTTTCAAAAACCCATGCGACGTGATCGCTTAGCTCCCGCGCAGGATCCAATTTTTTCCGCACCGTGCGCCTTGCATGGCTTTTGACAGGGATGGTGTGGTGGGGGGTGTCATGGTTCCAGGTTCGCCCCGCCCATAGGGAAACGAAAAGTGACATAAACATAAGAACTCGGAGGTCCGCGCGGATTTCTCAGATCGGCGCTGGGCCCCCCTCCCTGGCGCGCGGAGCGCGCCAGGGGCGGCGCCGGAAGCGCCGCCGGGGGGCCCCAGCGCCGATCTGAGAAATCCGCGCGGACCTCCGAGTTTTTATGTTTATGCCACTTTTCGTTCCCCCAGCCCAGACCCTGGGCTCCGGGCGCCAGGGCGGCACGAGGACGTGCCCAAACCCACGCCGCCGACGCCACGAGCCGTCGGAGGCGTGAGCCTGCGGAGCTGCAGACCCTCGCGGGGAGTCCTCCCGCGCTGTTTCCTTGGCAGCCCGAGGCCCCCACGTGGCCCCCCGGGAGGTCACCAAGAGGCCGTCACACAGCGCTCCCGAGACCGACGACCTTCGACGCGCTCTTTTCGGGGGAGCGCAACAGCATTCCCCATATTTTCCCATATTTCCTTGGTTTTGGTCTTCCCCCCACTTCCCATATTTTTTAATATTTTCTGGGGAATCGACGATTCATTGTGTGTGGTTTTCCCTCCTGACCGTGGCGGGCTCCGGTTGGTGGATTGACGATCCATGGACTTGGCGCGCGGTCGCCAAATCCATGGATCGGGGGAGGTGCCTTCCCCAAAATGCGGCCGGTGCCGTCTCGCTCGGCGGCTGAAATCCGTGATCTCCCATGAAAGCCGGACCCGTCGCCAATCCACGCCCCCTTAATCCATGTTTGCGATCGCCTGATCCTTCAGGTTGAAGAACCCACTTGAGGCGCACTTTCATGGGCCACTCCTCGAGGCGCCAATGCCCCCTGAGGGGTGCTTCGAGGGACCCTCCTCATGGGAAGCCCAAGGACCCCTGGAAGATGGACCCTTGAAGGTGCGCTGCAAGGGTCCGTGTTGTCATTCAGGTAAAGGGGTAGAGGAAGCAAGCATACTGGCGACGACCACGACCGCTTCAATCATCACGCAAACGATTGCGACGCAGCTGTTTTTCTTCTAGAGACCTAGAAACAAAAAAACACCAGCACGGTAACCACGGTCTGGTCTGGCGGAAGTCGCTACAACAACTGAGACCCCACTGAGGTCAGGGCTGTGTGCTTCCGACTGGGCACCCGCAAGAGATACGCGCTCCGCACATGCCCCCGGGGGAACCATTACATCATTGTGGTCACCCTCCTCCAGCAGACCTCCAACGGCAAACTCTGCTCGCCCCAAATGCTTCGCGTAGACATTTATATGCACGAGGCCACTGTCAGTACGTCCGTGAACAACTTTCAGCTGAATCGTACCAAATGCAACCCACGGCGGAATCTCGACTGCACTGTGCGATGCGCGGTGATGATGCCCTCCCCCCTGTTTGGCCTCTGCCCACGACCCTGTGACACTCACATCTTGAAGCACATGCCCGCGCAGTGTCCACTCGATCGGCGAGCACCAGCCTGCACACGAAGCAGTGCGTCTTCAGCGCCCACCCCGCGAGGGGTGCTCATCAGAACGTGCTTCCCCTCGGGGATGGACAGACCCCCCTTTAGCAAAACGTGGTTTAGTGAAAACGACCTGAGGCCCAAACCTGGCGGGCGTAAGCCTGTAAAATGACGGCCACGGCGCCCTCTCGAGAACCGAAAACGGACAATTCACTAATCGACGTGTCACTGTTGGGGGTTCTGTCCAGCCCCGATCCCCGCCTTCATCAGATCGAACCGCCCACCACGAACGTTCCGAAGGCGGGGGTCGCCAGTGGCAGCCGCGCCAGCCCCGGCTCGCCCGCCATGAGAGCTGCCGGCGGACACGTCGGGTGTGGCGTCGGCCATCCTGGAGGATACCTAGGGCTCCCAACTTCGCGCTTCGCGCTCCGCGAAGCGCGAAGCGCGAATAACTTCGCGCCCTCGCGCCGCCCTCCCAAAGGGAGAATAGGAGGACGAGGAGGAGGGGGAGAAGGAACGAGGACCGCGAAGCGCGAAGCGCGAATAACTTCGCGCCCTCGAGGAAGCCCTTGGATACGTTGGGCTGGGGGTCGGGCTGGGCGCCGGGAAGGCCGTATGCAAGGCCGTCAGGAAAGGCAAGCTGGGTGCGCTCGCGCCACATCCGAGAGTGCAGACCCCGAGGGCGCGGAGACGAACCATCCAACGGCCATACTGATGACACAATGGCAGAACCTGTCAAAGGCCCAGGAGCCGTTCCCTGTAATGCTACTGGTTCGCCCCGTCTCGTCCGCTCTGGCTCCGCGCCTTCCCTGGCCCTCCTTGGCTCCTGCTTGTGTCGCTGGCGTGTCTTGTCCTGCGCCGCGATGGCCGACCGCCACTCCCGCCCACGCTGCCACATCGAATCGATGTCGCTTTGCGTCCGCACCGCTTCAGCACCGCGTCGCCACGCCGGCGGTCGCCGAGGGAATCGGTAGGGGCGTCGCACAGGCCCCCGAGAGGCACAAAAAGAGGGGGAAGGTGAGAAGGAGAAGGCCTTTTCAGAAGGCGGCGGGGCTTCTCAGAGCCCTCGCGCCTTTCGAAAAGCTTTTTGTTTCTTCGTGGACGGCTAAGAACACGTCTCAGAAGGCTGGGGGACTTGCGAGTCTTCTGAGAAGACCCGCCCATACTCGTTTCCCCCCATGCTCGCCGCCGATTTTTTCCCGCGGTGGGGTCGGTGGAATGGTGTAAGCTAATCTGGGCATCGTGGGGGGGCCTCTGGGGAATCCGCTGCCCTGACCTCTTTCCACGACGCGAGGATGTCGGGGGCCCCGAACGGCTTGATCCCACTGATGATCTCCACTCGTTGCCCCCATTGCAGCCGACCTCATGCAGCATGCGCTCCCCCATGGCAAAGGGCCCCCCCGTCCCGGGCTTGGTTCCCCTCGATCCGCCGCGCCTGGGGCCGCGCCCATGGCAACGAAACGCCACGCGCACTTTTTGCGCCGGCGGCTAGGCAAAGCCACTGCGCTGGCGGAGGAGCACTGGTAGGGCATGCGAATGCGAATTAAGCCGCAATGCGCGGGGTGGAGAGGAGGAACGCCTGGCGGTGGCAGGAGCCGGGCCGGCTCAGAGCGGGGCCAGGCGGCGGCGGCGGGGCGCTGGGGGCGGGGGTCAGCAGCAGGGGGGCGGCGGCTGGGGTGGGGAAGCCGGCAGGGCAGGCTGCCACGCAGCAGGCCGTGCTGGGGGAACAATGCCCATCAACGCTAGCGTGAAGGTGTGCACGCAGCGCCAGTGGTCGCATGATGCCGAAATGACGCAAGCCACGAGGGCACCCAGGCCGGCGGCGACCAGTGTGGGACCGCCTCAGGGGAGGGGTCGGCCTGAAAACCAGGCAAAGCGAGGGGGGGCGCGCTGGACAGGGCGCGGGCAGCAAAACCGGCCCAGGCCCCAGGCGGAAGGAGGGGCGGGGAGGGCGGCACCGCCTAAGGGCGGAGGCCGCGGTAGCGAGGCAGCAAAAACTGCAGAAGGGCCAGCGCATCGATGCGGGCACCTCCGATCGAAGGGTGGCCCGGGCGTGGCGGGGCGGAGAGGCGCGGCGGCGGCGAACTGCGAAACGCCACACGAACACAGACACACAGACACGCAGACACACACAGACACACAGACACACAGACAGACAGACACACATGCACACACAGACGCACAGACGCACAAGCGCACACACGCACACACGCAGACATACAGACAGACAGACCGACAGACAGACAGACAGACAGACCGACAGACAGACAGACAGACAGACCGACAGACAGACACACAAGACACACAAGACACACAAGACACACACACAAAACACACAACATACACACACCACAGACCACAGACCACAGACACACCACACACACCACACACACCACACACACCACACACACCACACACACATCACACACACCACACACACCACACATACACCACACACACCACACGCACCACACAAACACCACACGCCACACACACCACACACACCACACACACTACACACACCACACACACCACACACCGCAAACTGCACACCACACACACCACACACACCACACACACCACACACACCACACACACCACACACGCACCACACACACCACACACCGCACACCGCACACCGCACACCACACACCGCACACCACACACACACACACCGCACACCGCACACCGCACACCGCACACCGCACACGGCACACGGCACACCGCACACGGCACACGGCAGACGAGAAACGGCACACGGCACACATCAGACGGCTCACGGCACACGGCACACGGCACAAAACACACGACACACGGCACACGGGAAACGGCACACGGGAAACGACACACGGGAAACGGCACAACACAGGAAACGGCACACGGGAAACGGCACACGCACACGGGAAACGGCACACAACACACGGGAAACGACACACGGGGAACGGCACAACACGGGAAACAGCACACGGGAAACGGCACACGCACACGGGAAACGGCACACACACACGCACACACACACACACACACGCACACATGCACGCACACACACACACACACGCAAACACGCACACACGCACACACGCACACACGCAGCACACATGCACACACGCACACGCGCACACGCGCACACACGCACACGCACACACGCACACACGCACGCACACACGCACACACGCACACACGCACACACGCACACACGCACACACGCACGCACACGCGCACACACGCACACACACACGCACACACACATTCACACACACACACATTCACACACATTCACACACCTCACCCACACACACCACACACACAAACACAGACACAACACACACAAACACAAGCACAAACACACACACACACAGAAACACAAACACACACACACACACACACACACGCGCGCGCGAGTACCCACGCACGCGCAAAACAAAACCCCCTCCGAGCCGACACCGCCGCCACCGCAGTCGCCGCCGCCCCGACCGCCCCGAGGACGGCGCGCGCGAGGATGGGCGCTCCCGCCGCCCACGGACGCCCGGCACTGTCATCCGAGGGCTTTGCTTGCTTGCGCGCGCGCGTGCGTGGGAGGTGGGCGCGCCTGCTGCCCGCGCCCGAACCACCGCCCTCGCAGGCGGCGAGCATGGCCTCCAGGAAGGCCCACGCGTCGGCCACGCGCCGCAGCACGTCCTCGAGCCCGCTGGCTCGCGCCGCGCGCCGCCACCGCATCGCCACGGCCGTCGCCGCCGCCGCCGCCTTCGCAGTCGCCGCCGTCGCGGGCGCGCGCCCGCGCGACGTGGAAGTCGGTCGCGGAAGCGCTCCGCGCCCTGGCTCGCCGCCCTCTGCGAACTGACTCGAGAATACTGCCCCCCTCCGCCTCGACGCGCCCGGTATTTGCATGTATTTATATATATATATACATATGGGGGTTCGGGCATCCCCGTCCCCCTGAAAACCCGCAACGTCATGGAAACGATGCGTCGGGTACAATTTTTCGTGTCTTATGACCATGATCACAGAGTGCCTCATCGCGAACGACAGCGTAAACGATTTCAAGGGGTTCAGTAGGAATCCTTTTTTGGAGGATTCCAATGCGATTCGTTTTTGTTGAGGATTTCAATAGAAATCCTACTGTAGAGGATTCAATTCGGAATCCTTCTGTGGAGGATTTCAATAGGAACCGTTCTGTACAAGGCTATCAAGAGGAATCCGTCTGTGGAGGAGTTCAATAGGAACGCTCCTGTTGAGGACTTCAATCGGAACCCTTCTGTCCAGAATTTTAATAAAACCCTGGCGTGGAGGGAATCAGGAGGACCCCTCCTGTAAAAAGGATTTCAATCGGATTTCAATCGGAATCTTTTCGTAGAGGCTATCAATAGGAATCCTGCTGTGGAGGGTTTCAATAGGAATCCTGATGTGGAGGATTTCCATAAAAAACCTTCTGTCGGGGATTTCAATAGAAATCCTGCTGTGGAGGGTTTCAACTCTTGTGGAGGATTTCAATCGGAGTCCTGCTGTGGAGGGTTCCAGGAGGAATCCTTCTGTGGAAGATTTCCATAGGAATCCTTGTGTCGGGGATTTCAATCGGAATCCTTATGTGGAGGAGTTGGGTCGGCATCTTTATGTAAAGGATTTCGATGAACATCTTTTTGTAAAATGATTTCAATAGGAACCCTTCTGCCGAGGATTTCAATAAAAATCCTGCTGTGGAGGGAACCAATAGGACCCATTCTGTAAAAAAAAGATTTCAATCGGAATCCTTCTGTAGAGGCTGTCAAATGGAATCCTGCTGTGGAGGTTTCAATAGAAACCTTTCTGTCGAGGATTTCACTAGGAACCCTTCTGTCGAGGAGTTCACTAAACATCCTGCTGTGGAGGGCTTTCGACTCCTGTAGAGCGTTTCAATAGAAGTCCTACTGTGGATTATTCCAAAGGAATTCTTCTGTGAATAATTTCAACAAGAATCCTTCTGCCTGGATTTCAATGAGAATCCTTTTGTGAAGGGGTTTAATCAGAGTCCTGTGCAAGATTTCAATAGGAATCCTTCTGTAACGTATTCCAATAAGAATCCTGCTGTGGAGGGTTTCAGTCGGACTCCTTCTGTAGAGGCTATCACTAGGAATCCTTCTGTACAGGCTATCGATGGGAATCCTGCTGTGGAGACTTTTAAGAAGTAAGAACCCTTCTGTCGAGGATCTCAATCGGAATCCTGCTGTGGAAGGCTTCAACTCCTGTGACGGATTTCAACAGAAATCCTGCTGTGGAGGATTACACTAGGAACTTTTCAGTGGAGGACTTCGGTAGGATCTTTCTGTCGGGGGATTCGATAAGAATCCTACCGTGGAGGAGTTCAATCGGAATCCTTGTGTAAAAGGATTTCAATCGGACTCCTTTGGTAGAGGATTTCAATCGGAACCCTTCTGTCGAGGACTTCAACTGGAACTCATCAGTCGGAGATTTGCTGTGGAGGGCTTCAACTCTTGTAGAGAATTTCAACCGAACCCTGCTGTGGAGGATTCCAAGAAGAACCCTTCAGTGGAGGATTTCAATAAGAATCTTTCTGCCGAGATTTCAATGTGGAGGAGTTTAAACGGAATCCTTATGTAAAGGATTTCTATAGGAATCCTCCCGTAGAGGATTCCAATCGGTATCCTGCTGTGGAGGGTTTCACTGGGACTCTTTCTGTAGAGACTATCAATAGGAACCCTTCTGTTGAGAATTTCAATAGAAATCCTGCTGTGGAGGGTTTCAACTCGTGCATTTTTAGTGTTTTTGAAATTGTCCAGTCGTGGATCTTTGATGCTTCTGTTTATGATGGTTTGTATTTTTTTGTTTTTCAGCCCCCAGCTGGAGGAAGAGGTAGGAGCAGGAAGGCGATGATGAGGAGGGGAGGGGGGGAGGAGTTTGGAGAGGCATGTGCACCTCCACGTGCAAGCACACTTACGAACACATGCGCGCATAACGAACTGCAGACAAGAAGAAGGCTTCGAGCTCAATCAATGACCTTGCGAATTTTCAGCGGGACGGGGATGCCCGCACACCCATATACATGTATTCTCATACGCACCTCTCCGAGAGAGTAAAGCTCAGAGCCGATGAGTGGAAGGCGGCGTGCGCGACTTTTCTGGCCGTTTCGCTAGGGTCATCCTCGACATTCTGAAGATCGGTGGCACCCTCACGCAGATCGTGGCGTCAGGGTCCAAGAACACATGGGAAATTCAACATTCTAACATGAGACCTTCAAACAACACCTTGTGATTTCAATGATTTTGACACCGATTCTCAGAGAATGGCGATTTCGCCTGAGACATCCTCCCAAAATCGAGCCCCGACGTACCTTCTGGTACCCCAGACCGCGCCTCGGAGCCTCTGGGGAGCCTCCTGGAACCTCCTGGGGCTTTCTGTACCTTCTGGTACCCCAGACCCCGCCTCGGAGCCTCCTGGGGGTCTCCTGGAACCTCCTGGGGCCTCCTGCGGCCTCCTGGAGCCTCTTGGGGCCTCCTGGAGCCTCCTGGGGTCTTCTGGGGCCTCCTGAGGCCGCCTGGGGCGTCCTGGGGCCTCAGAACTACATGCACACACTGAGACACAAACCACACCCAACACATCACACGCTAGACAAACATAACACACAACACCTACAACTCACAAAAAACACGCACAACACAAAACACACATCACACACAACACTCACAATCCCGGGGCCTCCTGGAGCCTCTTCCGGTATCCAGGTCGGGCCTCCTGAGGTTTCCTGGGGGGCCCTGGTACACACATCGCAAGGTGTGGCAAACCCACTTGCGCTCGAGTGCGACCTCGATATTAGATTCTTCTGCGTTCACCTCCTGCCTCTTCCCTTTCTCTTAGGTACGCCCTGGCGGCGCCGCCCCAGCTTCCCTTCTCCATCTCCGATCTTGCAGCTTCAAACGCCCTTTCATTTTTTTTTGTTGTATGAGCCTGGGCACACACGTGCCACTTGTATATATTTGCATACGTTTACATGTGCATACATATATACATACATATACATATCTATATGTACATATACGTAGACATGTAAACGTACTTGTGCACATGCATATACATGTACAGTTACATGTATATTTGCATTTGCACTTCTACATAAATGCATACATACATACATGCATACACATATACGCATACATATACACGTATATCTGTATAAGACTGCAGTGGCGCTTCGCGCCATGCAGCTTGGTCCTTGAAGTTTGGCATGCAAGCGGAATGGCAAGAAGGTCAACCAAACAATTTAGCGATAACTTCTGGTTGCCTGTTCTGGCATCGCTGTTATAATAAGGTTTTTCGTTATCCTTCCTCCATGTTCCTTTTTCCTCACTCCCGCCCTGCCCTGCGACGTCTTCCCCCTCCTCCTCAGCTCTTTTTGCAGAGGCTCCTCCTTGGAGAGAGAGCCTCTGGGGGCCTTACGGAAGTTCTTCAGGTTTTCTTAAGGCCTTCTGGAAGCGTCCTGGGCATGTTCTGGGTGCCTCTGGGGGCCACCCTGCCTCCAAGCGCGGTCTCCCTGAACGACCAGGTCACGATTTGGAATGCTTCGGAGGGTATCTTGGGGCCATCTTGGGCCGTCATGGGGCTCTCGTCGGCCATGTTGGAACCCTGCTGTGCCGTCTTGGGGCTCTCTTGGGCTGCCTAGAAGCCCGTTCGGATGATTTTGGGGAGATTTTCGAGCCTCCCAGGCGGTCTCGGACGCCCCGAAAACCGAAGAGCAGGGCATTCCCTAAATCATGCAAAACCATGGGGAATCAAGTTTTTCTGCGTTTTGAAAGCTCCTCGGAGGTCTTCTTTGGGTCGTTTTCGAGCGTCTGGTGGGTGACCGTGGCCTCTTGGGGCTCTCGGGGGGGCGTTCGGCCGCCCTCCTGACCGATTTGGGCCCGTTGCCTAGGCCCAGCAAGGGTTTCCAGGAGCTCTGAAACGCCTCGGGGGCCTCGTGCAAGGGCGTCCAGGGGGTCCCTGGGGCTACGGATCCGAGGGGTCCAGAGGGTTCCGGGGCCCGGGATTCGGGGTGTCCGATTTAGGGGGGGTCCTGGGCAATAGAAATGTATGAAAGGGAACCTGTATGTATACACATATATACATATACACATACTTATTACTTGTATATACATGTATGTATATATTTACACACATATTTATTTATATATATATGTGAATGTATGTGTAACTGTATATGTTTAGGTATAAGTCGATGAATGTGTATATGCGTGTCTATATATATATATATATAAGTGTCTATACATGAACACAAACAAACAATCACACAAACATACATACATACTGGAACCACGCGCGCGCTACGCGCGCACTTAGGTTCTAGGCACAGCTCGGCCATAGCTCTCGTTTTCGCCTGTGTCATGGCCGACACTGCGAATTTTCACGCCCGTGGGTTTTGCGGAGCCTCCGTGTTCATCGGCCTTCTCCTGTCTTCGGTCCCTCTCGGTCCTCGCCGTTGCTGTGGTCCTCCTCCTCCTCCTCCGCCTCCTCCGCATCCCCTTCTGTTTCTGCTCCCTCCGTGTTTTTTCGTTTCCCCTGTCCCTGTTCCCCCTTTGCTCCTCCGCCTGCTCCTGTTCCTCCTCTTCCCCCCCATCTGCTCCTGCTCCCCCACCCTCGACGAGAAAACGCAGCACGTCTCGAGGAGGGGGGGGGGGCGCGAAGTTCGAACGTCCAGGTTCGAGGTCTTTCGGTTTCTGACCCTCCGGGAGGGCTCCGGGAGGCCGGAGATGTCAAACACCTGAGGGCCCCTTTCCTGCAGGAGGCCCTTCCCTCCTGGCCAAAGCTGCGGAACCTCCTCGGCCCACGACGACGGCGACGACGACGAGACGACGAGGAGGACGACGTGAGGAGGAGGAAGACGAGGACGACAACGGCGACGCAACGACGACGACGACGACGACGACGACGACGACGACGACGACGACGACGACGACGACGTGGGCCCGTTTTTGCGGTCCGGAGGCTCGGAACGGTCTTGGGGCTTCGTTGATTTGTCGTCGCTTGTTGTAGATCTTCTGGATTGAGAAGGCGGGAGCTCCCAAAAACGTTTCACAAATCTATGGGAGCCAATGATTGTTGCGTCTTGGGGCCCTCTTGAAGGCTGTCTGGGAACCCTCTTGGAACGTCTTAGGGGAGGCCTGGGTCGTGTGGAAGCCTTCGTGGAGCGCCTCGGAAGCGGGGTGGGCCGACAGGAGGCGACCGCGGGCGTGTGGGAGTGACTTTCCGGCGACTCGGGCGCGACTCGGCGCCTTGTTGGGCTGTCCTGAAAGTGTCTCGGGGTCGTGTTTCCGGAGCTGGGCACCCCCAAAAACATCAAAAGGCGAGGGAAAACAATTAATGTTTGCTTGTCTCTAGGGTTTTTTGACGGCCGTTTGGGAACCCTCTTGGAGCGTCAGGGGGGCGGTTTGGGCCATCTGGAACCCTTCGTGGAGCCCATCGGGGGCGTGCGTGGGCCGTCAGAAGACGACAGCGGGCGCGCGGGAGTGATTTTCCGGCGACTCGGGGGCGACTCGGTGACCTGTTGGGCTGTCCCCTCTTTTGAGCTTCCCTGGAGGCTTGCAAGGGCCTTCCTGGGCCGTCTTGGGTCTTCTTCAAGCCGTCTGGGGCAATCTTCGGGATCTCTTGGGGGCTTCTTGGGATGTTTTTTGGGGGCGGTCTGGGCGGCGTCTGGGGCCGTGGTGCACGCCGGGGCAGCCCGCCACGTATAGATACTGAAAAACTTACCTTTTTCAAAAGGAATGGGACGATTTCAGCCTCTCGGGCCCTTTGGGTGGACATCTTGGAGCCCTCTCGGGACGTTTTGGGGGCCTCGTGAGCCTTCTGCAAGGGGTCTTGCGTGGTCCGGGAGTCTGTGGGGGCTTCTTGGAAGCGACTTGGGGATGGAGGCCTCTTGGACGCCTCGTGAAGGCCTTCGGGAGCCCCGGTTCTCCCATGCGCCGCCGTGGTCCCTGGGCGCGGCCATGGGGCCTCGGCCCTGGGAACGATTTATGCATCCATATATGTCTGTCTGTCTGTCTGTCTGTCTGTCTGTCTGTCTGTCTGTCTGTCTGTCTGTCTGTCTGTCTGTCTGTCTGTCTGTCTGTCTCTGCATGCATATGTGTGTGTGTATGTTGTATGTATGTATTTGTTTACGTATGTATGTATGTATGCATGCATGCATGCATGCATACATGCAGGTATGTATATTGATATATGTATATGCACACTTATATATGTATATATATACATATTGATAAAGCTATTTGCATATACATGTATATATATATACACATATCACACTACGTAGTGCCGAAGCGTTTTTCAACGGCCCAGGGGCCAAGGAGCCTCGAGAGCCCCAAAAGTGGGAGCGCCTCTCCTCCAAGGCCGTACGATTCTGGTGGGCTTATTTTTCACCATCGCCACGATGAACGCAAAGCTGGCTGCCCAGAGGCCGGTGACTCGCACAAGAAAAAATTACCATAGGCCTACCAACCACTCCTGGTCTTCTATTGCATCTTCGGAAAATCCTGTCTGTCCCATCGTGCTGGTATCCGCGTCGATTCCGCATCGAATCCATGTCGAACGGATCGACTCCGCGCCGAATCCACGTCGAACCCACGTGGAAGCCGCGCCGATCCCACACCGAATCCGCGCCGAACCTGTCGGAGATAAGACAAAGCCATCGTTTACAGGACTGGCAAGGCCCCCAGAAGATGCAACCAACGTTATTGATAGGCGGCGGCTGCGGTACAGTGGAGGCCAGTCCACAAGAAACCTTCCAGAAGAGACCCAAACCTGAGACCCCAGGACGTCCATGAATTCTTTGTATGGGGACGTCACGCCTGCCTCTGCAGAACCATTGACACCCAAGAAACCCAGGGCACCCTGGAGGCAAGCAGGGTGTTTCATGGCATGTGCCTCCACCGTAGTCGGTGGCTGCGGTACGGCAGGTTCGTGTCGTGCCGACCCCAGCGTTGGTTTTTGACACCGCGCTGGATCGTTCAACCTTGAACGATCGGTCGCTGCCGCAACGTCCGATCGTTCAACATCGATCGATTCTGGGTCGCCGGCGGCGTTCAACCTTGAACGCCCGCGCTGGGGTCGCCGCTGGTCGACACGACGCAAACCTACCGTACTGGAACGCAGTCCGAGCTTCACCCATGGCGGGCGCTCGGCCCAGGAAGGCGCTCCTCGTCGACCCGAAGCTGCTCCGCCTCGGCAATGTGGTCTAGCGCGTCCAGCGCCTCTGTCGGGCCGGGCGGTAGGTGCTCCCGCCGCCGCTGGTCGTCGTCGTCGTCGTCCTAGTCGTCGTCGATCGCCGCAGCAGCAGCAGCCGCCGTCGCCCGACTTTCGCCACCGTCGATCGCGTATCGTCGCTGTCCGATCGTCGATCATCGACCTTCGAACTTCGAACTGCGATCGTCGACAGTCGCCGTCCTGCTGCGTAAGTCGTAAACGTGGTCGTCGTCGCCGTCGTCGAACGTGGAGTGCCGACCGTCCATTGTCGATCATCGATCGTCGACAATCATCGTCGTCGTCGCCGTCGTCGTCGTCGTCATAAGCTGCCGACTTGAGCGAATTCGTCGTTGCCGTGGCCGTGCTCGTCGTCGCCGACGGGAATCCCCAGAAGCGCACCAGAGATCCCCTCAAAAGATCGCCGCCGGCGCGGATCGCCGCTGCCGCCGTCGTCATCGCCGCCGCCAGCGCGCGTCGGCCACGCGTCGGCCACGCGCCGCAACACGTCCTCGAGCGCGCGGGAGCGCGCCCCGCGTCGCCGCCATCGCCATCGCCATAGTCGTCGCCGCCGCCGCTGCCGTCGCGGCCGCCGCCGCCGCCGCTGTCGCCGTTGCCGCCGCCGTCCGTCACCTCCGCCGTCGCAGTCGCCGCTGTGGCCGTTGGCAGGCGGGTCAGTCGCGGACGAGGCGCCACGGCCGTGCGCAGGGACGCGATGTCAGGGATGGTGGCGTCTTTCGGGTCGGAGATGAGGACCTGGCTGCGGGGGAACAAGGACTGGCGGCTCACCAAGACAGGCGGGGGGGGCGAGGGCGGCGCGGCGCACCAACCTTCATGTTCGTCCCCGTTTTCGCCCACCGACGACAAAACGATTTGACCTGGGCGGTCGCCACAAAGGGAAATGCCGTGAATGGTCTCGATGGCTTCGGTGTCTATCGCATCTGGCCATGCGGTGTGATGTGTTGCCTCATTGCCAAATTGCTGATGCGTGGTTGTCATACCGTATTTTTCCTGCGCAATCAATGATTCGTGGTATATTGGCGCACGCTCTTATGGCCGTCACGCACGTGATCTCTTACATTAACAGCGCATGCCACGTACGTGCGTCCGTATTGCGATTATGTGTGGTACCCATACGGTTTTCTGATGGATGTGGTTTCGATGTGTACGCCATGGTTGTGAATTCTTGGTGACGCTGTTATGGCTGCGCACTCATAGTGTATATGCGAAGTTCGAAACCACATTCCCCAATCAGAGCTTGCCTCTGTAGGGGTCCTAGCGGATTCGTATGGTTAGGCAAGGTTTGGCGCCGATTTCGGCGGCACGCCGGGGTGCCCGGTAGCCCGGTAGCCTTGTAACCTTATAACCCTGTAGGCCTATAGCACGAATCGCCGTAGAGCCCTATAGCCGTACAGCCTTATACCCCTATAGCCCTATATCACCAGAGATCTATGGACCTATCGCCCTATAGCCATATTGCCTGACAGTCCCAGAGCCTTATAGCCCTATAGCCCCAAGGTCCTCAACAATTTCGGATTGGGTTTCTCCGGTATCATTCGACGGATTGACGATGCTATTGGTGCCTTCGGCTGACGGGTGACCCGCGGTGGCGATAATATGAACGTGCGCAAAAAAGGCATCTGATATCGATGAATATGATGAGTGCGTAACGCTTGTGCGCGAAACATGTGTTGTATTACAGCGTAGTGCGTGCCCATGTTGTGTGTTTTGATTGTCTGCCACGGGTACCATAGTGCTAATATTTTGTTACGGTGCGTCACGGATGAACTATTGACGTGTCTGGTTGGTGTCAACTACTGCCTCGCGCCCCTGATGTGTGCTCACGGTGCCGAAGCTTTACGAACGGTTTTGACATATGATTGTGATGGTTTCCCCGCGCATCGCTGAGATGTGTTGTTGTGTCGCTCGATGGCTGTTCGTGGTGTCGTTTATGTGTTCGTGTCCGTGCTGTCTAACACCGGCGCATGTTCTTCGTGTAGGTTATTGATGCATGTTACTGTTGCTGGATATTCTGTGTTCTCAACGTGCGCGTCTGTGCGTGTGCGTGTGTGCGTTCAGTCGTTCTTGGCCCGCCCACGCCGGGAACGCCGTGTCCTCGCACCGTCTCGTGCAAGGCCGCGCGCCACGGCAAGCAGTTCCGGCTGCAGTGGATGAAAAGGGAGACACGTGCACTGCGCAACCATCCAACCCCAAAACAGACACCCCGCACACTGCTCTTGTCGTAACCATCCACCTGGACCGGCCCCTTCCTGGCACCGGGCACACCGACGCACGCACGACTCACGACTTGCGAGCAACACGCGCCACTTTGGTGGTTGCCGCTGTCGGTTTTGGCGGGTGGACCAGCCCGTTCCGGGTGGCGTGATGGGGCGGCACCTGCACCGCGCGACTCCGCACAATGCCCACGGTAGCATGTGGGAACGCGGGTGGGTGAGAGAGCGCGTTTGAACCACGCGCGTGTGCGCGTGTAGAACGGGGGGAGGGCAGAGAGAAGAGGCGGAACGGGGGCACAGGAGGCAGACGGGCAGGACGCATGGGAAAGGGGACGGGGAGGGGAGGGAGAGGGCGACGAGAACGACCGATCGGGGGCCGGGGCCTGTGCTCTGGGCACGGAGCTGGTGGCTCCGGATGCCACGGCGCTACTTATCAGAGCGCAGCATAGCGCAGCACGGCCGCGTGTGTGCGCGTGTGTGGCAACACATCACAGCACAACACAACACAAATTGACGCACAGAAGCAGAATACAGCACATCCCAGCACACGCGGCTCGGCGTGTGCGTGCTTGTATGTGTGTGTGTGTGCTTGTATGTGTGTGCGCGTGTGCATCGCACTGCCAAGGGCTCGCGTCCAGCCCCTGCGAGAGCAACTGGCCGAGGCCTGAACAAGGAAATGGCCCCCCCAGGGCCTTCAGCTCCAGAGTGGCATCAACCAACCACGAGCAGCAGCGAGTCCACGGCCTCCGCAGGCCACGAAGCCTCCAGAACATGGAGACAAAAACGCCATCTCCGATGGCACTCGCGCTTGGCCGACGGGGGGTCACCTGACGCGGGCAGCTGCGCAGAGTCAAACCCAGGACGAGACACTCCGACAGGGTCAGGGCCCCCCCCCCCCCGACGAAACCCAGGACGAGACACTCCGACAGGGTCAGGGCCCCCCCCCCGACGAAACCCAGGACGAGACACTCCGACAGGGTCAGGGCCCCCCCCCCCCGACGCGAGACGAGCGCGCTCTTGCAGCCAGGCATGGGGGAATGCCGCGCGCCAGCGCCGAGGGGGGGGGGGCGCCGAGCCCCGACGGCCCCACAGCCCTCTCTGCGCCGCGGCTCTCCTGGGCGGCGGCGCGCGCGGGCTCCCCCCCCTGGCCGCAGGCGAGAGGGACCCAAAGCGCAGAGCAAGCAGGCGGACCTCCCGCCCTGGGATCGAGACCGACCGTCAGGTGCTTCCGCCGCCTGGCCCTGTCCCTCTCCGCCGGGGGCAGCTCCGACGGGGCAGGGGGCCGGCCCCGGGCACCCCGCGGCCAGGAGCCGGCCTCGCTTGCGGCCGTGGCCACTGTCGGCAGAAGACATGCGGGGGCCTAGAGAAAAACACTCTAATCCGGAGGTTGGAACCCTAACCTTCAGAGGGGAGGGTTTCCGATTCCAGAACTCCCCAAATCAGAGGAAACAGAAGGGACACACAAGGGAAACAGGGAAAGCATAAGGGAAACAGAAGGGAAACACGAAGGAAACAGGGAACACAGAAGGGAAGCACAAGGGAAACAGAGAGAACATAGGGGAACACAGGGGAACGCAAAAGGAACACATAAAAAGAACAGAAGAGAAAAATAAAAAACATAAAAAACAGAGAGGAAGGAAAACGGAAAGACAATGTATAGAAAACGGAAAGAACACGGAATGACAATGGAAGGAACACCGAGGGAAAACGGAAGGACATCAGAGGAAACACGCAGGGAAAACGAAGGACAACTGAGAGAAAACATAGGGAAAACAGCGGACATCGGAAAATAAACATAATACATGGGGAAGCAAAAGGGAAGCATGAGAAAACAAGGGAAAACAGGGGGAACACATAAGGAAGCACAGAGAAAACCGAGAGAAGACCAACCTATGGAGGTTTGGGTTTCCTATTTCGGAACCTGCCCAAACAAAGGGAAACAGGGGGAAACGGGGAAACAAAAGAGAAACTGGAGGGAAGCACAGCGAACATTTTGAAACATATAAGGAACACGAAGGCCAACATAGGGAACACAGACGGAACCCTAACCTCCGGAGGTTAGGGCTTCGTACTTCGGAACCTCCCCAAACAGAGGGAACCAAAGGGAAACAGAGGGGAACACAGGAAACCAATAGGGAAACAAAGGGAAACCCCAGGGAGCACCAACCTCCGGAGATTAGGATGTCCCATTTCGGAACCTCCCAAAACAGAGGGAAACAACAGGAGACAGAGGGGAACAGAGGAAAACAAAGGAACAACGGGGGAAAGCAGGAGGAAAGCGGAGGGACCCCTAACCTCCAGAGATTAGACTTTCCAATTTCGGAGCCCCCCAAAACAAAGGGAACCACAAGGAAATATAAGAGAACAGAGGAAACAAAAGAAAACATTTGGAACACTAAAGGACAACGTACGGAAAAAGGAAGGGCGCAGAGGAACACGGAGGGAACCCGAACCTCTGGAGGTTAGGGTTTCCTGCCTAGGAACCTCCCAATATAGAGGGAACACAGACAAACATAAGAACGCATAGGACAACTCAGGAAAACGGAGGGAACCCTAAGGTTCGGAGGTCAGGGCTACTGATTTCGGAGCCTCCCCAAACAGAGGGAAACAGAGACAAACAAAAGAAAACAAAAGAAAAACGAAGAAACACGGGGATAAACATAAGGAGGCGGAAGAACACGGAGGAAAACGGAGGGAACCCTTAACCTCTGGAGGTTGGGGCTCCCTATCTCAGAACCTCCCCAAACACAGAAGAAACAGACAAACAGAGGAAAACACAAGGAAAGGGGGGGGAACCACACAAACACAAATGCCAATTCAGGGAAACTGAGGTGAACGGAAGGGCACAGAGAAAACAGAGGGAACCCTCACCTCTGGAGGTTGGGGTTTCCTAGCCCCGGAACCTTACGAAATAGAGGGCAACAGAGACAAGCAGAAGAAAACAAACTAACACCTAACACAACACAAGAAAACTAAGAAAAACGGAATACAAGGGAGGAACACTAATTAAAACATAAGGGAATTATGCAAACGGAGAGAAACCGACTGAAACTCAGGAAAGCATGGGAACACAATGAACAAATAAGCAAACATCGGGAAACAAAGGGAAACACATGGACGCAGAAGAAAACACATGGAAACACAAAGGAACAGAGGCAAACAGAGGGAAACAGAGGCAAAAGGAGAGAAACAAACAGAAGGCACCAAAGAGAAGCATGGCAACACATGATAATCTTGAACAGGGAGGTCGACGCTAACCTCAAGAGGTTCGAGTTCCCTAACCGCGGAACTTCTCCACACAGAGGGAAGCAGTGACAAACAAATGGAACGACACACGCGCACAAGGACATGTAGACAGACAGGAGACACTGAGGAACACGACAAGACAGATAATCAATGATATGCCCACCTTGGAATATCTCTATACAGAGGGAAACACATACAAGCAAAATGACATATACTCAAACAGAAGGAAATATTGACCGACGTAAGAAACAGTGAGAAACATTGCAAGCACTGAAA